GCGTGAACTCTACCAATCAGCATGTTCAGCACCCAAGTCCCGCCCCCGAAATTTCCGGACCTTTGAAAAAGTACTACCTCGTGAGCAGGGACTTTCTGAGGGGCAATATTTCACCCGGAACTTTATTTAGATCCTGGTTCCTGCGGTGGAAACACACCGAGTACCGGCCCAAAGTCCCTAGTTCCTGGGTAAAGTTCCTGCAGTGGAAACGGAGTATGCCGCCCTTAGTCACAATGCCAAGGCTGAGGTTCCTTTTTCACAGATGTTTAATGCACTCATCGATATAGACAGCAATATCAACATCAACACCGTAGAACTGAGTAAAAACACGAAACATACAACATAACATCAGTCACACATTCAGTTTCATGTAAAACAGAATACATCCACATACCACATTTGCCTGCTCGTGAGCTAAGAGTGGGGATTATATCTTGAAGTTTCTTGATTAGATGGCTTATAATTCTAGAGAGAAACACCTTTTAAGTTTGCGAAGATTACATCGTTCCATCTCTTCATGCGAATGACAAAACAGGAAGTGACATACAAAAGTACGATGGGAATAAAATATAACCAAAAAATCTTAGAATAATTAAATCTTGCTCAAATAAACAACAGCTGAATATAGAAATCACAATAAACATTATAAAATAACCAAAATATAAAATTATACAAATTAAACTAATCAAAAGTGTCTTAAGTAAATAAGTGCTGAAGTACACAAGCACCATCTAGTGGAAATAGATATCAACAACTCAGATACACTTTATGACAGAAAATAGAAACTTTGATGCAGAAAATACACGGGGCTTTATTGTTATTATAGTTTATGGTCAGAAAAAACTACAATTCAATAACAGAACTTACAGTTTAGAATAAAATAACATTTGTTAGCCAAACTTCCTATATTAATATATTGCTAGTCCATTCCTCCTCCTTCATAAAACATCATCCCATTCTGTAGGTTAGTGGAGAGCAGCAGCCTGAGGCTAATTCGGCTAATATAGTAGTTGATGGTAGCTTATTCTCCTGTTGTTACCACCTCTATGATGGCAATCACAACAAAAGACTCCAATACACCTCCGTTGCAGATGACATTACCAATAGACTACAGACCTAAAAAAAACAAAACAAAAAGACATACACTAAAACTCTGCGGACCCGGATATGGGTCCAAAACCAAGTAAAACACGTTTATGCTTCATTTGCAAAGCCTTCCTTATATGGTATCAGCCCATATATGGTATCATTTGAAAGCTTAGTGTCTATAACTTTTGGTTTTATAATACATAAAGCAGTAAAATGAAGCTTAGAAATGTATTCGTCCCACACACGAATTTCCCCCTAATGATTGCGAAGAATTTTTAAGAAGAATGTGTATGTTTTTATTTTTTTTTTACAAAACAGCCAAGTCATATATCACAAGCAAGCTCTCAGTCTCAGGAATTTGACTATGTAGTTTATTTCATTGTGTAACAATCACAGATCAAACGATCTTCAATAGAATCGCGATGTCTAATTTGAAACATTCAGATGCGTCACATTCCTACTCGCACTATTGCTTCAGTCATGTCTATGTATTTCACATAGATATGTGGTGCAAAAGGGAGAGTGCTCGAAACCTGTTATTTGCAAGTGAAAAACAGCGCTTGAGACTCGTAGAAGCAGATTCACACTGTTGTCGTTATGTACTTGTGTTTGTGCTAGAAAAAGCATCCAAGAAAAAGAAAACAAGCGTACAACTCTCATTGCAAGAATTCACATTCTAATTTGTGGATGTGCAAAATTCATCCGTGACTTCACATTTTTGATGCAGGTGTGTTTTGCACCATACTTATTGCAGCAATAAGAAGGTGTACCGTTGTGTTGTGTTTGTGGGAGAAAAAAAAAGTTTGCAGATTTTGTCTGTGACTTCAAATTTACTTATACACATTTGTGACTATTATCTACAACTACAAATTCCACTGTCACAGGTGCTCAGTTGTTTTGCCCCAAAAATACCTGACAACTTTTAATGCAACATTAGCATAGCATTGTAAGGCATGTACAGATGCCTTACGATGCTCTACTGTGTTGCATTAAAATGTTTACTGTTGTCATACAACTATGCTAAGTAAGTGCAAAACAATATAATGCGATTTAAAATTGTAAAAATATACAGTATTATGTAAACAAATATGTGCAATGTGCTGAAGAATGTGTGTCCTGTCATCCCGGTTACTCTGGTCAGTCCTGTGATTATGACGTCAATCCTGTTAATAATTTCATAAAAATTTTACAAAATTATATTTGATACAGCCTTTCAGGTTTTTCCATTGTAACTTTAACAATATTTTATTTTGGACAAAGCCCTTTTTTAATGCCTCTCTTGTAAAAATAGATATTTTTTCTTAATTGACAAGTGGTCACTGGTCATCTGAATGACAAAAAAAAAAAATCCAAATTTTGAAACATTCGCAGTGAAAAGAGGGACTAAAATGCTGCTCATATATGTGAAAACTATCACATAGTTCTAATTAAACTATAGTATCTAGTAACACTTGTGTCAGTAACTGGGTTGACAAAACTACCAAAACATGAGGTAGAAAAATAGTCATAAAATAATACAATTTCATAGCCTGAGATGGCACAATACAATTTATTGTCATTTTAAGGTGTCTTCAGTCCATGGATATTTAAAAACATGTTGATTAAACTTATTTTATTTTAAGTGGCACCGATTTTGGCACCAAATTTGTGGAATGACCCTCCTTTCTTAATATTAATTAGGGCTGCCCCCAACAGTCCACTAATCGTTAGTCGACCAGAAGAGGCTTGGTCGACCAAAATTGTATTAGTCGCTTAGTCGCAGGGGAAAAAAACTCCTCAGGCGAAGTCACGCAGTTCGTGACGGACAGATCGTTAACAGCTGGTCTATGTGGTAATCCAGTTCATCGGACAGGACATCCAAACGCTCACCTATCATTCATCGACCTCAAATATGGCTTACCCAAGAAATATGTAAGTATTAGCAACTTTACATGGCCGCTCAATCTAATGTTAACCAAGAGAAATGTGCGCTATTCAAGGGTCTGTGTGGAGTGTGAACAGTAGCGCGCTCAGGACAGATGGAGGCGCCGCTGCGCTCACTTGCTCTTAAAATACTGGTCATTTTTGCTCATACGAATAAGAGTAATACATCTTTCAAATCTGTAAAGACTCTACGTTTATTTGTGTGCACTCACCATAAAAACAAATCGCGTTTTTGTGAAATAATGAAAGCAAACAGGATGCGTTTTCTGCCGTCTTGTTCTCTGTAAACTTGGGCGCGAAACTCCGTGTATATCTTTACCTTACAGACATGAAAAATATATCTATAGAGAGTGAAATGTCTACTTTCAAATTAACCAATTCAAATTAATTTTTTTTATCAGATTATGTAATCCGTATGAAACATGCATACAGGCGCAGCTATCTACTGTGGAGATGATGACAACAAAGAAAGCACTAGTTTATAAAATTATACCGTGTATATCTTTACCTTACAGACATGAAAAATATATCTATAGAGAGTGAAATGTCTACTTTCAAATTAACCAATTCAAATTAAAAATGTTTTTTTATCAGATTATGTAATCCGTATGAAACATGCATACAGGCGCAGCTATCTACTGTGGAGATGATGACAACAAAGAAAGCACTAGTTTATAAAATTATAAAAATGTTAATGCAGTCTCCTTACTGTTTTTCACTGACACATTCATAACCATTACTTCTGCCGGTGCGCTGTGGCAAGCTTTATTCGTGGCTTGAGGCATATTAGGCTACTTAGGCAATTAAAGGCTAATAATTATGATTGAAATGGTGTATTGATAAACGTGCGATTAGTCGACTAATGCTTAAAATGAACGACTGCTAGTCGACCAGAAAAATACTTTGTCGAGTACAGCCCTAATATTAATTACTATATTAATAAGCAAAATATAGCAATATTTTTTTTATTTTATTTTTGTTATTAAAAATAAGAACAGATGCAAAAAAGTAGACCTCTCTGGTATTTTTATACTCCAAGACTTAAATGAGAGTGCAAAAGAGTGCGTGCGTTCGTGCGCGTGTGTGTGTGGTCTCAGCATTAACATACAATGTGAATGGTTGCGTACTTTGTGCTATCCTGAAAATAAATGTCACTAAGCCTATATACTCCACCCCAGTTATACAACTGCTGTATATTTTATCTATATGTGATTGCACTGCAAAGTAATAGTCTGGAATACCAGGTTATAATGTAAGTTATGAAACATTGTAGAAAAATATATGATAGTTTCAAAAAAGAACAAACGACTTCAAAAAGGAAAGCAAGAAATAGTCATCCCCATAAGCATTTCTTATCTAGTGGCTCACTCTAGTGGAAAACATTATTATTGCAGCCCTTATCCATCGTTGAAATTGTGAAAACACTGAAACTGATTGACTGCTGACTGGCCATTTTTGTTGATATGTCTGACTAATTTCTGAAGAACATGTTAGCAGCATGGGTATCAAAGATGATGCATACCAATTTTAAACTTTATGGATCATACTATTGCAGCGATTCATTTAGTTTTCAGTTTTGGCGGCCCCTATGGGCAGAATTGGATAACAAGGTGTGTGTCAACAATGTCCTGTGTGTCATAAGTTTGGACATTGTATTTAGCAGATATAGATCAATGTGTGCAAACGGATGTTGGCAGATCAATAATTAATAAATAAACGATAGTCTTGTAAATTATTGTAAGCAGCAGCTATACTAATACCGACATATTTTCGCAAATGATCCTATGCAACAAACCAGATCGAGTGATTTATAAGATTATGGATTGTGGAAGTTATTGTTTTGATGGGACAAATCCGAATCGTGTCTTCAGAAAGAGTGACACATGTTCGCCCAAATCTAATCTTTAATTTTCATGGATAATCCTCACCAGTCGATGATGCGCGCTCCCCACGAGCATCCTCAGAGGAATGTTCTAATTAAGAAAGCGCACGACTCTCTCTCTCTCTCCCTCATGTACACAGTCTCTCCCTCATAGCAGGCCTACAAACACACACACACACACATACACACACACACACACACACACACACACACACACACACACACACACGTTTGTCTCTGTGAATTGTGGGGACTTTCCATAGACTTCTATTACTTTTATATTGACCAAATGATATTTTCTATCCCCTAAGCCAAACCTAAGCATAAACCTGTTTGCATTGTTACACTTTCAGATAAACATAATTTACTATTTTTACTATTTTTCTCAAGTACACACACACACACACACACACACACACACAGCCTATATATAGGTCTTTAGAAATTGCTGGCCCACTTTGGCTGAATTGCTAGATACAGTGGGACAATACATCTTTGACCTTAAGTAATTCTACTCAAATACATGAAATAAAAGCTTTCAAATATGGTTACATTTAAAGTGCAGTTGGTCCATTCATTCTGATTTTTTTTAAATATAAGTCTATTTGTTGTTGTTGGAATGAGGCTGGACTGAGGTTGGACGCATAACTGAGTCAGTGTATTTATTGTTGTTATAGGGCAGGGATGCCAGATAAAGCCTGTGCTCGACTGATAGCGCCAGTGTTATTGTAAGGCCACAAGGCCATCTGATAAAGGCTGGCTGTGGGGATAAGGTCTATTTGGGATGGTGCTGAGCCAGAACTTTTAAACCTTCCTATTAAGTGTAGGCACTACCTACTCACCAGGGGCGGACTGGGACAAAAATTCAGCCCTGGCACTGTAGCCACACCGGCCCACATTACCACACTGACACAGCCCCACCCACACACACACACATTCACTACTTACATTTGTGTACAGATGGTGAAATAATATAAGCAGAACCATATATGTAACAATAGCAAACAATGATTACTACTTTTTAAAGAGCACACGTTTATAACAAATCTACACATACAGTAAAAACAAAAGAAAAAGAATCTGAGGATGTTGTAGAGTCTGTGCGCTGTCTGTTTATGCCATTTGTCTGCTGTTACTGTCATTCTCTACAGTATGTTGTTCTTTGTTGTCACTGTCCGTCTGTTGGGTTTTTCCTACCTCTACCATGCTCCTCCCTGTCTCTGCTAGGCCTACTGTAGCATCCTTCCTCACAGCACTGGTGTTGAAAGACCAGGGGTCTCTGGCTGTACTGATTCCAGCAACATCCTAGTTAAAGAACACAGTATAGGACTTAAACATTACAGCAAAATATTTTCTCACTGACTGCTCTCAACATTGGAATACACATGAATACAAACAAGTAATAATAGCAAAAAAGGGAATAGAATAAATAGCAAAAACTATAAATAGTAGCAGCAGTAAATCCTTTTTGATATACAATTATTTGTGAATTAAAGTATGCTGAAGTGTTGCTAGTATGTGCTGCATGTGCATTTGTGTGTGAGTGTGATTCTCTCTCTCGCTGTCTCTGTGTGTGTGTGACACAGGCACAGGTTCCCTTTCAGTCGGTCACTACGAGTCACGTCGTGACCGACGAATTGGGATATTGCTTCGATAGACCAATCTACTTCGAGGGTAAACTAAACGAGCCAATGCACATTGGCATGCAATTATTGCATCCAGCTGCCGCTGATCAC